TATATTTACGTGTTTCTGAGAATCGCCGTAGCTTCATTTAGTTCTTATCAACAGAAGACCGTCATTGGAAATTACGCAACGCTTTAATCGTGGAAATATAGGGAATTATGAGGGAATTCTTAACCTTTTGCAAACCGATGACCCCATTTGGGGTCATCTCCTTTTATTATGTAAACTGTTCGCTTGATTTATACTATGAGATAACTTAATAATATTTTATTCAAAAATGAGATCAAAAATTTTTAAATGACAGATTCAATATAATAGGACGGACAGAATTTTTTAAAAATAATTTGATTATCATAAAACTTGATTTTAGGGAATTTTTAATTGCAAAATATAATATCAAGTTTTCAATTTCGTTTTATTTGCAAAATTAATACGCAAATAGTTAGTATTGATTTTCAAATTGACTTTTAAATTCTAATTATGAGCTACTAAATTTTCTTTCATAGAGGCTACCTTTAAACTCAGTGAGATCAAGAATTTTTAAAAACTAAGTTCTACAATAATTAAACTATTTCTTTAAAATTTGATAGAATTCTGAAGTCAGAATTGAAATCGGTAACCTCGAAAATATTCTTCTATAAATTACTTTGTCAGACAATTCCGCTCCTCAAAGAATCAAATGTGTATTTAATAATAATAATAATAATAACGCATGTTTGCAGTGTTAAGCGTGATCAATAATAATTTATTTAAATTTCCCTAAAATGCAATTTGCTTGTTTAGACAGTCCGTAAAATCATTTACGTATATCTATCTCATTTACTATACACACATTGATAGAAATATTCTGGCGTATAATATCATTAGAGCTGAAAACATATAATAGCACACATTAGACATATGTCAAAACGCCCTTTTTTCCATCTCAAATAATTCACTGATATCAATGGGTATTTTCCAGTAAGAGACATAGATGACACAGTATAACACAATGAATCGTCTTTATTTGCCAATGTTAAATAAAGATAAAATGATCACTGTGTCTTTAGCTGGAAAGCACCAAATATCTGTCCATAACCATTGCCCATATTTTGCAATTATCAGATAATTTATTAGAAGAGAAGATGATATTATGACTAGTATGGATATATAATAACTTCTTTTGGTATTTCCACTATTAACAAATTCTAGTAATTACTTATGGAATTATTTGCTCAATAATTCACCGTTATACTATGATGCTAATATATCAATACACAATAGCCAGCATTTATTATAACGCACTTTTACTTTCAAAAATTTCGAAATGTGTTTAAGATACATTTTAATATTTAATTACATATACTTTCTCATTTTTCTTAAATTTTAGAGTATTATCATACAAATATATGTATATTTGAGTGTATTGTTTGTTATTTAACATTTTATTTAGCTGTATAAAATTCGAATTGAATAATAGTATGGAATTTTGTTAATGTAACTTCCTGTAAGTGTATTGATTGCTGACCTCTTTTCCGAGATTTTCAAAGCAAAATAATTATTAATCAAAATAAATCAATTATAACTCTATCATTAATTTATAATTTATGTTATAAGTACTATAAATTTTTAATTAGCAGTCTATGGAAAAGAAATTATATATACATTTGTACATATGCATTTGCCTACATTTTAATCTCTTATTATTTTTGTGTAACAAATATTGCTTTTTAAAAAAAAAACTGACTTTTTAAATTTATTTTTGTGAAAAGCCACGTTATCCCCAGCCCATGTTTCTCTTCGAACCATTATATTAATATAATCTCACATTTTTATAAATAATATCTTAAGTAACATTTTATAACTTTGAGCTAGAATCGATTAAACAACATTTCGACGAATATAACCATTAAATTTTAAATTTAAATATTGATTATTAAACCAAGTTATTATATAACATATAAATGGACTGCCATGATATCACCTTCTCCTCGAATATCTATTTCCCGCGCGACTCCCTGAAAAGTCTCTTGTTTGTGATGCAAGTCTGAGAAGGTGTGAGTAGTAATTCACTTTATATTCATCACACCTCGCGAGCTAACTCGGGCATTGATTTCGCATTAGCGCGACCGACACATCGCGCCCATTCTCATTTCCTCCTTCTTCTCATCGCCACACTATGCCGATACACTGATGCCGATATGTACATAATGCGCACGTGTATGTACGAGCTCACGTGCCCTCGCCGCGACTCCATTCGTTCAAAGGGAGCGAAGCTTGACACGGCTGCAACACGCAACGTCGAGGGCGGTGGCGACCGCAATATTAGATTAATGGCGGATGTACTTCACTTTCGAAGGACGTCCATCTATTTCTCCGTTCACCATAGAATTTCTGAGGAAATTAAAAGCTCCTCAAAGTCGTTACAATTAGCAGACCTTATGAATCACTCTCCTCTCCTCTCCTCTCTCTCTCTCTTCCCCTCTTTCTCTATCTCTCTCATCAATCTCAAATTCAATATCTTATTTCGATTCTTATATCTTATCAATTCGAGAGAGAGAGAGAGGGAGGGAGAGAGAGTGAATGAGTGAATGAGTGAGAGAGAGAGAGAGAGAGAGAGAGAGAGAGAGAGAGAGAGAGCTTTTAGTGTTACCGTTGAATGTCGGTGATACATTGAATCAATAGTGCAGAAGCCCTTGACATAAATCGCAGTTGTGTACTACAATGTTAGAAAAACGATCGATGCACCGTAAAAAAATGAAGCAACCAATTTCCATAAATATTTAAGGATGTTTTGGCTGTACAATATCTTTTAGCTATACAACCATCTAAAAGTATCAAACAATCAACTAAAAATAAGCTAATACTAGTCAATATCATTCAAAAATGTTAATGATGTTAATCCATAAATACGCTCTGAAATCAATTATAAAAAATAAAACAAAGAATAATTTGGCTTACATCAATGCATTTTTATGCAGCAAAATGACTATATTTTTCTGTAGTTTTAGATCAATAATTTTTAAACGAATAATTGGATCCAACTTTAGCACGAATATTTATTATTGTTCGATTAGTATTAACAATTATAATTTAATTCTTAATGTACTTCCTCATCAAATTTGCAAATAAATTTCAAAAAGCAATTTTACATAAAAATCAAAATTAACAAAAAAATTAAAGAACTTTTAAATAAGAGAATGGTGCTCAAATTTTACACACAAATTTAAACGTTATAATGTGGAATCTGTAAAATTTTTTTATTTTTGATTTAATACGTCATTATTAAATCAACTTGATTTTTTACAATAAAAACATATCAAAGAAAATAATATTTATCAATTATAAGAGAAGATAAAAGTCTGAGATGCATTCTATCTGTTATATCGCATGCATAAAAGTGGAAAGACTGTAATTTCTCCTATCTCTAATTAAACATAAATCATCGATATTCACAGGTAGTCGAATCCATAAATATTAACCGATTTATTGCCGCTGCCGAATACAATTAACTGTTCGAAAAATATCGAATATCATAAATCAGACTTGCGCCTCTATCCACGCGTATCGTATCCTCGTATGTAAATCTGGGTATCTGAACCAGTTTCCATCTCTGATCGATGCGGGATGGCGACTGCGATACCAGACGATCGGCGGGCCAGATCGCGATGTGAAACGGCGATGACGAAGTTGCGGCGACGTAAACCAACGTGGAAAAAACGACGCAGAGAGTTATAACCGTCGATGTAACGGGAGGAAGGAGCCCGTCTCTTCGCTTGAACAAGCGGCAGCGACAGCGATGGCCTCGAGGGCCGAACGTGGCGGAATGGGGAGATCCCCGATATACGATCGCGCGATAAGATGCAGCGGCGTTGTCGGTTGACAAAGGGTCGTAGGAACGCCTACTCAGATCGGACGCACAACCGCTTGCGGGGGCGTCCATATTAAAATCTCCTCCCGTCTCCTCCCTTCATCCCTTACCTTCATGCCCCGCCATCGGGACCCCCGGTCCCGTGATCTTGTTTATTACCCGCAACGTACCGGTTGCCAGAAAACACAGCAATCCTTTTCTAATGTGTGTTGCGACTGGCTCAACATCAATTTGATGTCAATTCGTTGATTTTGACTCGATTCCACTGTCATTTCTTACTAGGATTTAGACTGTTTAGATGACTACTGACTACTTTTGTTATGGATTAGTATTGTTATTATAGCTTTTAATCAGTAATATTAATGATTAGAATTTTTATAATGTTAAAAAAATACGATTTCTATTGTTAAAAAAGTTAATTTTGCTTTTTTGTATTCAGTAAAATAGCTACAAATTAATATATAAACACAAAAATATCTTAAACTATAATAATCTATTTTCTTATTTTCAAAAATTGCGTAACGAAATTATACGTAATGATTAATTGTTATTTTGACATTTAATGAATTCTACATGTAAATCGTAAAATTCCAAATACAATAAAAAATGCAATAAAAATCCATTGAAAAACATAATAAGAAATGCAATAAAGATGTAACAAAAAATAAAAACAATTTTTTTTAAATCTAACAATTATATGTATTTTTATGGAGAATAATTTTATGTATATATAATTTTAACTATAAAAATTTGAATGCAAATATTATACAATACTTTTCACACAAGAATTCAATGATAAAAAGATGAAAGTAATTAAATAAGGCACACAAGTTCGATCAGAAGCTCGAAAATATGACTCATGCTGCACTCTAGAACAGATCTCTTGAACTTGTTTCTGTCAGAAAATAGTATCTATCGAGCAAATAATAATGCTTTTGTTATTTTATTTTATTTTGCAATCAAGATATTTCAATTAATTGCATATATATATATATAAAATTACATTAATGAAATGTATAGATTGTTATTATATTTAAACAAAAATTAGAATCAAATTTTAATCTTTACGCTTCCATTTAAATTTGACAGTTGCCGCATGGTGGAGTTGCTTGCCTGATTCTTTAGTTTATATTTACAGTTGAAGAGTGTTAAATTCGTGTGTTACAATTCCAATAATTGATCGCAATTCGCATTTGTTTTATTTTTTCTTTTTTATTACTCGCATCGCCAAGATGTTTCCATGTAGCTCGCAAAGAAAATATTGGATGTTTAGCGATGAAAGCGATTTAACCATGTTGAGGGAGAAAACTAATGCTGATTTTATCGCAAAGCATGGTGCAAATATGACTGTGAGTCTATTTTTTCAAAACTACTCCCTTAGAACTGTCGCTTTTTCAAACAACAATATCTGCGAACCTATTTCTGTTGTACTTGTGATTACCGAGACCAAATATTGTCGATGAATTCTAGGTTATGTAGGCACAAATAAACATATATATATGTATAAAATATTGCTTATTATTAATATAATACAATTTGCTACACTTTTCCTAAATATCTCTTTAATGATAAATTGATTAAAATAATAATACAATTAAAGTATAGTAATAAATGCTATAATTACAAGTTTAATTAGTTTAATTATAACACAGCCAGAAGAAAAGGAGGAATATTTTCTCTCGCATTCAGAAGAGCGTACATTACTCCGTTTTTATGAATTACAATTAAGAGACTTCTGTCGTCGATTCAATCCACCGATGCCTCGTGCTACTGTCGCCACTGCCTTACATTACTTTAAAAGATTTTATCTCAGAAACAGTGTGATGGATTATCATCCAAAAGAGATTTTGGTCACTTGTGTTTATCTAGCATGCAAAGTAATTATTAATCTCCATGGTATATTTTTTTTTCATGGTCATTTGTAATTTCAGTCTTTTCACATGAAAAATACTTTATTTTAGGTTGAAGAATTTAATGTCTCTATATCTCAATTTGTAGCAAATATTAAGGGAGATAGAGAAAAAGCATCTGACATAATTCTTAATAATGAATTACTCCTCATGCAACAGTTGAATTATAATCTTACTGTTCATAATCCATTTAGACCTGTGGAAGGATTGATGATTGACATAAAGGTTTTGATATAAAGATATTATTGATGTATGTTTTCCTATGTATGACAGAAATAAATATATTATGTTTTTATAGACAAGATATACATCTTTGGAAAATCCTGAAAAATTAAGGCAACATATAGATGAATTCTTGGAAAGAGTTTTTCTGACAGACAGTGTTCTTCTTTATGCCCCAAGTCAAGTTGCGTTGGCTGCGACTTTACATGCAGCATCCAGAGCTTCTGCAAACTTAGACAATTATGTTACTGATATACTTTTTTCGAGAGAACAATTGGGTGGGATTATAGAAGCTGTGCGAAGTAATTATATATGTATTGCATGATATTTGTATATATTCTAACAGTATAAGTTATTTATAATTACAAATCAATTCTTATAGAAATACGTTCGATGGCTAAATGTGTAGAACCACCTTCACGAGAAGCAGTCAAAGCTTTAGAGAAGAAATTAGATAAATGCAGAAATCAAGAAAATAATCCTGATAGTGAAATGTAAGTATATTTATATATAAATTCAATATTATTTTTTAAGATCATTCGTATAAGTTTAGAAAATTTTAGATATAAACAGAGAATGCAGGAAATGCTGGCTGAAGAGGATTTACAGGATAATGAAAAATATGCAAAAATTATTCAGGATCAGGCAGCTCACGATGACAAAATTTTGGGAGTTAATAAAATTTTATCTCCCTCTGTTCTGTGATAATAAACTTTGTATAATAATAAATATTTCTTATATAATCCTACACAAAAAAATTATATTCCTTGTATAGGAAAAATTGTATAAAATATTTTGAAATTTTATTTTTTCTAAATTTTATATTTTATATTTTTTTCATTCTTATACATCGGATTTTGCAGCAACATTTATTTCTATTTAAAAATATGTAA